CCTGTTGTCTATTAATGGGACAATAAAATGAATTTCTATTGTATTTCATTCTATTACATCCTCAGAACTGCATTTCTAATACCAGCATCTGGGGTGAAATCCTTTGTGGGTTGTTTGGGGAGAGTTCCCTGTTCGTTTCCTCTTCACTGAACGAAATCAGGTGAAGTGGTTCCTCCACCTGGGATGCATCTTGAACGGCTCTTTTGGAGGGTTTACAGGGAATCTTCCACTGCACATATCTGATTTTAATTGTTGGGTTTAATTCTGGAGGTAAAACCCTCACCACTTTGGGGCTGAGGTTGAGCTCATATGTCTACTTAATTTGACAGTTTAGCAGCAAAAAGCTTTGCTGAATTAAAAATGTTGATTTGTCAATATTTTGCGTAGTTTTGTTTTTTTATTTAAATGAGATTAATTGGGATTAGTTAACTACAACTAAATTCACCACATTAAGAGTCCTACCACTAGTTATTTCATCTAAATCTTATTTCGGTATGAGTGTATCTGTGGGTGTGTGCAAGGACCATGAAGACACGGACCATCTTCAAAAGACAATGAAGACGGTCCTTTATCTTCATTTTGTCTTCTAACATCTATCTGTCCAGGGTGTACCCCACCTGTCGACCAGTGACCTACGGAAATGGGCACCAGCACAACCATGCCCAGGAAGGACAGGCGGGTATAGATGATGGATGGATGGATGATATTTGGAGCTGCAGTCACATGCAACACCTCTAGAAATGAATCCGTAGTGAAATCTGGAAGACTGTTTGCCCACTGGACATTTGCTGGTCTGACCCTTAATAAGCTGGAGGGATCTGAACTGCGTTGTCCCTAAATAAACAGTTTTCCTCAAAATATAAACCTTTTAATCCTTCTGCTGACCTGCTGCTGGAATCAAAGGACGCTGCTGAATAATTTATGAAGTCCCCTTGTGCTCAGATGGAGACTAAGCATTGAACTGCATAAAATAATGGTGACTTAAGTTGACTTGATACATATATTAAGTAAAGGGCCAATGAGGCTCCACATTTATGGTCTGCCGCTCTCCACATGAGTCTCATTTATGTCAACACATCTACTGCAGGATTTATCGGCACAAATTATTGTGGCTCGAGAGCCTCTCTACAGTTAGTAGTGGAAGGGGGAGCAGGGATATTATTTACTATCTTGTGGAATATGATGGCTGCTCAGTTTACCTAGCCTTAAAGTAAACACCATCATTTTTATTTGCTTTTGTTTTCTTGGCAGTAGGTGGCTGTTTAATGTCACACGTCAGTTTGAAAGCGGGATGTCAACGCTCGCTTCTGTATGTACAGTTGCTGTTTGTTACTCACAAACTGTGAGTGTGACGTTGTTTTAATTGGCTGTTCATGCAACAACAACAGTCAAATGACAAAATGGCAGATCTGAGACCTTCGCAGATTCCAGTTGGACTCTGGGAGAAGCCTGTTTCATTTAGCGTTGATCTAACAGCCGTGACTGCTCTCCTCAGAGAGAACGGTCCACTACGGCTGGTAACAAAAGAGAAAAGCGAATCACAGGGAGCAGCTCAGGAAAATGCCTCTCTGCAGGAAAAGCCATTTAAGATTCCTTGTGACAAAGAGAATTTGCTTAGCCGCCTAAACATTTCTCTATGTAGTCTGTCTTTTCATGCAACTCAGAGAAATGTCAAGTCAGATAATCCATTACGTGTTCCCCACAAACACAGAAACAAAACACACCTACAGGCAACATATCGAGCTGTCTGTATCTGGATGCCAGGAGATCACTTTTCAAGTGAAATTCCTTTTGCCACGACTGCTGCTTGCGTACAGCACAACCTCCTAGTTACAACTACAAATTATGGAAGTTAATGAAGCACGGTTCCCCTCTTTTATGAAAACCCATCAAGTTTAGGGTTTAGAGAGGAAACGAAGTGATTTTTGACAATGGATCGGAAACGATATGGGGATCCACCTGGCTTTGTGGAAAAGATTCTACTGGCTGGAGTTAATGGGGAGGGAGTCAGAAACAGCTGGGCTGTAAGCATCCCTGTCATTTCCAGGCTGAACATCTAATCCTATAGAGAAGCAGCACATGACTCACGCTGCTCAATGCTCAGTGGGAAGCACAGTACTGACACAATTAGAGCACAGCACACATGGGTATGCATGCAGATGAGAATGCGCACACACACATATGCACGCACACGCAGCTTCTTGGCATTTCTTTTGGTTGTGATGTGCCAAGAAAACACCAAAACAGCTGTGGCCACCAACCAAGTCTTAATTTGATTGGAGCCACTTTGTCAGGCCACAGGTTGTGCTGCTTCAACTACCTAAATTACTCAAGCTGAAAGAAAACAGGTCAGTAGATTTAAGTCTGGTTGTAGTCATCATCAATAATAATTTGGCTGGAAATGCAAAAAGGTGTAAAGAGGTGGATGTATAAAGAGTGTTTTGGAAATAAGCAGCTGTTAGCAGGTAAACAGATGTTCCTATGAAGTAAACTCTAGAGTTGTGTAGAATATTCACTTGTCTTTATCTTCGAACTGAGCACGTTTTGTAAAAAATCCTAATGAAGAGAGTAATTAAAACGCAAAGAAAATAAATACAGAGCAATACAAGTTTTGACAAAGATAAAGCTATTTGTCCCCTTTCTTTTCCATTTCTATATTCATTATACTTGAATAATGAAAATAGAAAATTCCAATAAAGATTTATATAGATACGCATCATTATGAAAGCCATAAACTCCACTGATGTGAAAGTAAATCTGGTGGGCTTCACCTTGGCACTCAGATAACAATTTACTCTCAAGCAGGACATAATAATAATAAAAAAAGAAAAATCACTATTTTTTTGTCTTCTGAGATTTTTGTTCAAAATGAATTGCTGTCTTCTCAATTGTTGTTGCTGTAAGAGCCATGGTGTTTTTCACTTCCAGTCAGATAACCATCACTAGTTTAATCTTTAACCCTAAGCATAACCAAAACTTATTTAACACCTTACCTCTAAGCTTAGCAAGGAGAGGGCAGAAGACCTGAACAATGTGAAGACCAAGAAAATGTCCTCACTTTCCACAAATGACTGCTATATGTAGCAAATACAAGTACACACACACACACACACACACACACGCACTCGCACACGCACACACACACACGCACACACACACACACACACGCATACACACACAATTTATATAAGCATATTAAACTCATAAATACACAGATAATATTCAGGGTTTTTTCCCCTGTGACCCTTTGGTTAAGAATTAACCAACATTTCTTTCACTATTCTGCATTCTTTGTTTCCACCGCTCTGTTTAGCCTCACGTACAAGTACAAAAAACATATATCAAGTGTTGACATCAAGGCCAGTGAAAGTTCCTCCATTATGCATCAGTGGGATGCAGACTTTGCATGCATTGCACCTAAAATAGTATAATAATAATATCCTTTAAAAATATGGACCTGTGCATCCCATTGTTTCAGGGTCTGCCTCATCCCTATAAGCCATAATGCTTTGCATAGAATTTTGTTCGTTGCATCCAGAGCAGAGTCTTCAGTGTAAATGGATAACACTCCAAAGGAATCTAAATGTCATGATCTGATGAATTATTACCCATGAGAAAACACAACTTTACCCATTATTTCTAAAACCTAAACTAATCCTTCACCTGCTCTCAGCTTCTACAAGCTGACGTTTCTTCTCTGGTGGTCTGTCGTAACCCAAGCACGATGTGGAATGAGAATTTTCCTCCCTGGGCTTTTTACCTCTATGAAGTAAAAAAGAAAGACACCCGCAGGGCTTTTGGTGCTCGGTATAAATTTAGATTCCTCAGCCACATTCATCCTAATTCCTTGTCTGTTGGCAACCTGTTGGAAACTAATGCTCTGATCACAGGAACACTCCGCTTTCCCTTTGGGTTCACGTCATTTATTTCTTCCGTTGCATAAATTAAACTTTGTCTCACAAATGGTGCATCAGCAAACAAGTAGATGTTTGTAAGTAGTCACGTTGGGAGAGCTCTGAGTTTCAGGAGGGTTTGTCACGGCATGTGTGTAAAAATCAAAGCAGACAAATATGAGACGTAACATTAAACTGCAAAGACAAGTTCCTTCAAAAATACCTTTGCCTGGTAGCAATGGTTAATTACCAAATCAATTAATCTAATTGTGGTCAGGGAAACATCTGGGTTAGGCATAAATGTGGTTACTACAAATAAACTGAATACAAGCTCCTCACTGATAGAAGTGCAAGGTGGTGTGTGTGTGTGTGTGTGTGTGCATGATAGAGGGTGAGACATTCAGAGACCAGTATTTTTTTTGTCTTCTTTTTTACGGAGCAGCCATCACGCTGTTAATCCTGCTGTTTTCGCCAACATGACCTTTCAAATGTTCATCTCCAGGCTGTACAATCCCAGAAAACTTTCTGTCCTCAGCTTAAATCTTGTCAGTATTTTTAGTGCACTAAAGCTGACTGTACTCGAAGGGAGCTGCTTCTCGGGGGTAAAAATGCACTCAGGATTTCTGGACGAAACTGACAGAAACGTTCGCCCTCTGCGTTGTGTTTCAGAGTGATTAAGGAATTAAGGATTATTAAGGAAGAACAACTTGATTGTTAAAATAAAGATACAGATTTCAAGGGTTTAAAGAACTTCCTGATCCTTTCTGTGATTGTTCATTTTTTATGTTCTTCAAATTCTAATTTGTCCGGATTTTCATGGACATGATGGAGGTAAAGCATACAATTCTTTTACTTGACATCCATCGCGTGCTCCCGAGGTAAAAACAGTCCCGTTAACAAAATGAAACTTGGACATGTGTCGGTATTAATTCAGCGAATGAAAAAAAAAAAAGACTGATGAGGAGCATTTTATCAAGTTTCCTAATTTGTATTTTTTTCCCCCTTTTCCACACTGAAATACACATTATGATAAAACTTTGCTGACAAGCATTGGGGCAGAAGTGGGACTTAGTAAAACACTAAAACTAAAGAAGAAGTCTTCTCTACCTCTGGGTGACTGATGCCTCCAGGTGATGCTGGCCTCAGGTCGTCCCACCGCCTGGCACATCAGATTGACGCTGCTGCCTTCGTTCACTGTGACGTCCTTCGATATATTCGTTATCTTGGCAGGTACTGATGAGAGAAGGGAAAGGAGTGATTGATGTTTTCAATGTAATTAAAGACACGTGAACAGAGAGCCCACAGTCCCACATGATCAGAGGCACAACATGGATAAAAATAACACCAAGGTTGGGGACTCAATTAGCATGAAATTAGCTGACAAATCTGACAATCCTTTGGCATGCCACGGTGTTCTACATGATTGATTTTCTTCATAGCTTACTGTAGCTTTGCTGCGCTGCTCATTAGACGAGCATGAAATGATTCGGAGCTGGATGGGATTTATATATTTTTTTTTTGCGTGTGTCTCTGACAAGACCGTGTGTGTTTATGCTTTGAGACGAAAGATTTAAATCAAAGGTTTTCCACTTGCTTTCACTTTGTTTTTGGGTGTGTGCGTTCCGGCAGGCCATTTATATAAATGGAAAAGCTTATTTTATTTTATTCTTACATATGTATCCATTTCTATTTTCAGTAAAACATGGCACATTTAACTGTAATAACAGTAAGTTCCAAAACTCGGCTCTTGTTCCCGTTTTTGTTTAATTCAGTGCTTCCACAAATCTGGACCAGAGTTCACCTTCCATAACTAATCAATGCAATAATTATGCAGCTCTGTTTATGTCGACCTTATGTTAAATTGAAGCAGTTATATTGTAAACACAAATCAATATGTCACATAATTTTCCTTAAAGAAGCAGAGGTACCTGGGGAAATATATTAATATCAAGACTGAAAGAAAAACAGGAAAAATGATTTTTCTTACCCCCCTTTCTTTTGTAAGCACAGGGGAAGTCATTGCAGAACATCTAATCTTAAAGGTCAGGTATTGTTGGCTCTATTTGCAGGCTCCTACTCGCCACATAAGAAGTCAATAAGGGAGGTTTTACAAGCTAAGAATTGACCTTGGGTGTTTTTACTCTTTGTTTGGTTTGTTTACTATGAAATAGACAGAGAACCTTCAGCCATCTTTGTGGCTCTGCGTGAGCCCAAACAGCCCTCCTCTTGGAGCATTTTCCAATTGTCAGTAAAGCAGTGTCTTTATAATCCAATTGAGTGCCTTAAAATTATTTGAGTCCCTTCCTTATGAGACATCTTCCCTTGTTCTCCAGACAGAAAGGTCTCAGCTTATTCTCCAAAGACAACTATGGCTGTTGTATGTAACCCTGAAAACTACGGAAGAAATAAATTCTGATGAATTCAAAATGTGTATATTGCAAAGATGAAAGTAGCTAAATGGTATTAAATAGTTCTGGTGCATCTGAGAGGAAAACGTGAAGGAAATGTTACAAACTGAGAGCAAAGCTGATCTGGCTGTGATGGACCCTGCAGTCTGTACTCCAGGGGCCCCTGGAGTACAGTTAGCTTATAGCTAACTGTAACTGTTGCTAAAACACAAGTTCACAGTAAACTACATGCAGGTCTGTAGCATGAGTTCTGCTGTGCGCAATGTGAAGAATTATCCATCCTCCAGTGAGTTGAATTAGTAAATTTTATTTATTAATACCAAAATATAGCTGGTTCATTCTGACATGCTAGCTTTCAGTTCTAGTAAGACAAAATGGCAACTAAGAACAGTTTGTGCTCTGCTTTGTTAGCCTCTATCTAAGCTACGCCATAAAGAGAGCGCTCCCTAATGTGTCATTTCCTTGAAGCCTAGCTCTCATTTGCACTTCCTAATATGTCATTTCCTTTAAGTTTAGCTTCACAACTAGCTAAAAATAGATGGAAGGAAAACAGAATTATTTATTCTCAACAGCAACAAGGACTGAATGTGCAGCTATGTCCCCATTTAAAACTCTCAGTTCCTCAACTGGAAAAATGCAAGGAAGAAAGAAGCTTTGCATTAATACGTCTAATTGGAAGACACTAAAGATTAATCACGGATGAAATGCAGCCCGTGATGTCAATGAGTCTCTGAGTGGAAAAAAGTGAACTGTGGCGCTTTAAAACGGCAGCAGCTCCAGCAGAGAATGAATGAACAAGCATCTGTGTCCTTCTGCTTTGAGACGCCGGTGGCCTGGCGATAAAACTCACACTTCCCCTGCTACTTAGGCTGCTGTGACTGAGACAGAGGGCCTGTAGAAATGTGACTCCGCATGTTTGGGCTGCCAGTGTGCCAAAGCCAACACAGTTTAACTGCTTTCCTCTGTAATACCTTCTCAGATCACCTTGCTGCTAAATGTGCATGGCTGAGATGAAAGAAAAAAATACGTGACAGCGTGTTGTGTAGCTGCTCCCGCAACTCTGGCAGCTCCTCTTTCCCCTCCATTTTCCATTTGTTATGCGTTTTTGTCAGTTTGTCTGCTTCATTACGGTGCAGTCGGTTTGCAGCCGGGTTTGTAGTGACTGCAGATCCCAACACATCTATAAGTCTCAATCGCTCCTGCAGTGTTAACCCAGGTCTTATCTCCAGATGACGCTGAGTTTCCAGTTATATGTGTTGCCCTCTTACAGCCTCACCTTCTGAGCTGAACTAAATAAAGTCATCTTGCGCTTTTACTGACGTACCTCACTCTAAGCGGTGCTGCAGATGATTGCCTGACGGTAGAGCTCCATATAACAGTGCTGCCTTTATCTATTTTGACTCTGTGAAACTATTTGCAAAAGGTAAATACCTGATTTTGTTTTGTGTACATTTTGGTGAGGTAGCTTCCATTTAAGTGCACATTTAAATAAAACAGGAATAGAAAAGAACAGGCTGTATGCAGTCCACTCCGCTGAGTCCTCTGGGCCAGAGAGCAAAGCCAGCACGACTGACCAACTGGGCCTTATTGCCAACAGCAGTAGACTTTCTTTTCCCTTCAGGGTTTTTTGTGGGCTCTACTGTTCCTTAAGGAAAGGGGCCAGGAGAGGGGGGAAAACATGCAGCAAATATTGTCAGGTCCGGGAATCGAACCCACGACGGCCGCGTCGAGGACTCAAGGCCTCCAAACATGAGTCACGATATCTCCTACGCCACCACAGCACGCCCAGCAGCAGACTTCTCCGGCTCTTCTTTTTCGTTTGTTTTTCCTGAACTGCATAGTTTTTCCCGTGGAGGTTTCAGCTCTTCTCAGAAAAATGAATCTTAAACTTAGCAGGGCGAACAAAAGGTTGCGTGTGACTCAATACAAAACGTAAAACTGATGAGTGGAGTCAGCATTTTAGGAACATGCAATGTTACATGTGTGGAACTTAAGACGGGCTCTTGTGGAGTAACGCACAATGTCCACAATGTTAACAGTGACGTAGGTTGTTTTTTTAATTTATTTTTTTTAACTTTATTCTTGTGTCATTTTCCAGAAAACTCAATCAAGCAAAAAGCAGCATTTGTTGACTTCTTAACATCATAACACTCCAAAAGGGAAAAATAAATTAATCTGGGTTTGCCCAGAAATGAAAACACTCCAGATTCTCAACAGCCTGGAACATTAGCATACAGGCTAAACTTCACAATGCAATCTTAATAAGCTATAGAAAAGAAAATAATTGTCTTTACAAACTCTCCTACATTTCTAAATCCCTTCAAAACATAATTTTCTATAAGCAGAAGCACTAAAGATTGCTCAAATAGAATATATACAACTGTAAAAGAAAACAAAAGCCTCCATTTTCTTTTTCGTTCTACCTGCTGTTGCAATCATTGCTAGGATGAACTTTTAAAAGCATTAATTATGGGGCAGCCAGTCCCTCCAAACACCTCACATAGATGGTGAGTCCAAACAAAGCGAAAAATGAAATGATAGTGAGTATGCACAAAAATATGGATAAAGGAGTCATTTAATTGTGATTTACTTTAACTTAAAGAAAACTAACTTATCACTGAGTCAAAGATGTTTGAGTTTGCTCTTTTGTCTGTGAGCAGTAGTTATGATCTGAACTTAACAGTGAATGGTGAACCCAGCAGGTTTCAGAAGTGAAATATGTTGTTTCTGTTCTGGATTCTCCTTCATTCAGACAAAACCTTTCAGTTAAGTTGCTGCCTTTCCTCTTGGCTTCAAACAACATCGACAACCATCAGGCCTCAAACGTTGATATGCGACCAATTCATGTCAAATGAATGTCAAATCCTTTCATATTTTATCCTTGCCATGTCCTGAAAAAAATGGAAAATGAGGATGTTTTACAACATTGTCAAGACTTGGAACATGTGCTTAATTTTTAGATGCTTGAAAGGTCAGATTGGCACAGCAGAAAAAAACAAAACAAAAAACAGTTTCTTGAAGACCAATCTTGAAGTGATGGTAGCCCGTGATGGTTTCATGGTGGTTCTTATTTCATTCTTGTTCTAAGATAAATTTAAAATATATGCTATGATGCTTGTCTCTTGCTCTGCTTTCCTGTGCTTTTCAGTGCTTCTGTCAGTAAGAGCCCATTTCAAACTAACTGGACGTTGTAGTGCTCAGTATTTTCTTGCACCTATCCCAATGCACGTGAACAATAAAGAAATGAATTCCATAGCAGTGGCACATACTCTATGTGCACTATTTATGGTGTCAGAGCGTTTTTACCTTCATCCCAAGGAATTCTTATTAGAAAAAATAAAAAATCGATGTCAGCCTGTCATAGGCAGTAATTGTGTATGCCACTGAGTCAGAGGCAAAGGAACTCAATGCTGGAGTGTTATTTATCTAAGGCAGCACATGTTCCCTCCCAAGTGAAAGCAAAGCAAACACGGTGGTGGCTGAGAGAGGATCCTTTCACAAAGTGGTTCATAACATTATTTCCCTTTGAGCACTACGACTACTTCTGCCTACAAAACTATTAGTCTCATTTTGACAACATTGTTATTTTCCCTTTAAAGGAATAAGTCATTTAGAAAAGGCAACGTCTTGTCCTTAGTTGATAAAGGGATGTTGAGTGCAGCATCGGAGGAAAAGCTTGAACTCAGTTCTGCTTCTGTTTCAGTGACAAGAAAACTTGTTTTGTGGGGGAAAATGTCCTCAACCCTCAGTCACCTTCAAACCAGGTGGGTTCGTCACAGTCAGGGTTTGTGGCCAAAGAGATTCTGTTTGTGTGATTTATTGAGG